TACCGCCCCCCGGTTTTTCCCCAAAATGCTCTTGTCTGGCCAGTGCGCCACCAGCACCGCATGCCATCGAGGCTGTTCCAGGGGAACTAAAACTGGGCTGTTCATCTGTAGAAATTGGCAGCCACAGATGCTGTGGAAACACAAATGGGAAGTGCGCATATCATGCAATGTCACACACAATTGCATGGTGTATGGTATGTTTCCCATGTATGGAGTCACATGAATAGAGTGCTGTGACTTATTATCATCATCAGCAGGGTTTCTTCTTCGATGTATATCAGAGGGGCAGTGAGCATGTGATCTTGCATGCAAAATTGCACAACTTCTTTGTGTGATAGTTTTGTTCTTCGTCTTCGGGGTAGGTATTGGGGGGTTGTTGCATGTGTGATTTCCAGCGGAAAATCACACAGTCCCATCATGTTTGTGAAATTGCAAGAACTTTTGCATGCGATTCTGTGCTCTAGATCACATTGGTTCATGTGGCATTATCACCACCACCCCTTCTGTCCCTGACTTTCCCTCTTCCCTTCTCCCTCTCTCCTGCTCTCTCTCCCCCTCGTTTTATCTCTCCTTACCTACCACTCTCCGTCGGTCAGGGTTATCTTCTGACATGAAGGGTGGTTCGTGGACCTTCTCTGTGACATGCCCAGTTGGGTACATATAAATCAAGGATCCGCAGTGTGATGAAAAGGACTGAATGGACAATGCAGTGCAAGTAGAATCTCAACAAGCAGTGTACATCCTGATACATACAAAATGGTGTTTTATAGCGCAGGGGAAGATTTAGATACAAGTCCTGACCTGACCGGGACTGACCTCTTTCACGTAGTACAAGATAGCGAAGCGGAATGCTAGAATACTAATGACTAGCCCAATCGACGTTTCAACGCAGACCCCACATACATCATTCTCATCACAAGTGTGAAGGGCCCTGGTGCTGTACACAGGAAGAAGGCGCCAGGTCCAGTTCATGCACAGACGAAGAGGAGGGGATCAGACGGAGAAGAGGAGGGGAGAGATGGGAAAGTCGCCAATACCAAGTCTCGTTACAAGTCCCAAATAATCCCTCGTCAAAATGTCTGAAGTCCAATGTCGAGTCTGGATCCAAATGTCACCAATCTCTCTCTCTCTCTCTCTCATAGTCTGCTGATGCAGTGAAGTCAGATAGCGAGAGGGTGAGAAGGAGATGGTGGACTGAGAAGAGGAAGGAGAAGAACTCTCTCTCTCTCATGTGCCAGGTACTAACCTGTGAAGATGGCGCTGTGCGGCAGGTACCTCGAAGACGAAGCCGGAGCAATGGCGCTGCAGGTAAGTCTCCCTGGCCTCCGCCCAATCTCTCTCTCTCCAGTACTACTCTAGCTCCTATGGCGCCCAGCGCTGAAGACTACTGCTAACGCTACTAGCGCCCAGCGCTGGAGACTACTGCTAACGCTACTTCTACTCCTGCAGCGCTCCTCCAGAGTGCTGCTGCCGAATCCTGAAGACTACCTCCTGCCTCCTGAACTGCACATGAAGTGCCTGGGAAGTACCTAGGAACTACCTGCCTGCCTGCAGGGTGGGCCAGTCCTATATAGTGCTGGCCCGTCCAGGAGGCTGCTCTTGCCAATGCCGAAACGTGCCAGACCCTGGTGTTGAAGCTCAACCAGGGGTTGTCTTGAAAACAGGCCCGAAATGGCCTGTGCTAAAGCCCTGGTTTGTTGCCTGAGTTTCAGGGCAGGTCGTACTGATGAGGGCCTGGAAATGGCCCTCAGTTTCAGGCTGTGTGTGTGTGTGTGTGTGTGTGTGTGTGTGTGTGTGTGTGTGTGTGTACTGTGCTTTTTTTTTCCTTCTCAGCCTCTCAGGTACAACGTTCAAGTTATCCACCCTACTCCGTGTCATTGCAACACTCCCCATGCTTTTGTTTGACGAGGACAGAACACCCTATAAACTCCTCTGTCCTTTCTGTTTGTTCTCCTCCTGTTCATGGCAGCGAATGCCAGAGCGTCAGATCTTTAATCGCATGAGGTGGTGGTGGTTTGTCTTTGGCAAGGGTCATGTCTCCACTGTGTTAGTTTCCCGTTTTCCATTTGCCTTCGTTGGCATGGTATACATCTGTTTGTACACACACAATTGAGGTTCCAGGTGTCCTTGATGGTTAGTGTGACAACATCTGTGTTTTAGTTCTTAATGTATCACTAGTGCATCATTAGTAAACAAATGTTAATCTTTCAGACTACATGGTTTCATTTCTGTGTTAGTTTGTCGGGGGTCGCATTTCTCGTTTGTGAGCTACCGCATCGCCAGCTCCTCCCTGGATGGAGAGCAGAAGCCACAACTGGGGAAACTGCATAGCGATGATAGCGGCAGAGATTCCAACAGCTTTCATGCTTCATCTCCCAATGGCTGCAAAGATGTTGATTTGTGGGCATGACCAGTCGCCAAACTGCCGACCGGTATTCAAGTGGTCATCCACGACCATTGACTGTTCGTGGCAGCAGATGGCAGGAATACAACACAAGATGTACAGCACATGTAATCTGCAAATTGCCCCACAAATTGTAGACCATGCGGGTAACATGCAAAGGACTGACCTGGATACAGCCCAAGACATTCTGGGTGACACTGGGAGTTGTGGGACAACAGCACCATGGTCCATGCCATGATTTACTATGAACTTGGGAGGTTTTCTGCGAAACGTCGGAATCTGGATAATCGCAATATAAATTATCACAAGGTGACTCAGGGCCCCGATCAAACAACTATTGACGGTACCTCGCTTGAAAAGCTTTTAAAGCTTCGAGGATCGAGACACTATAGTCAAAGGAGAATTTGAATGGGGAGCAGCTCGTATTCCGTCGAAACCTGTGAAGAACGTTTACAAATGCGATTTCTTACACAACAACGATGTTTTCATAGTCGAGGGAGAATATGAATGGGGAGCAGCTCGTATTCCGTCGAAACCCGGGAAGAATGTTTACAAATGCGATTTCTTACACAACAACGATGTTTTCTTACCGCCGCAAACCATCCACTTGCTGTTTCATGTGGAAGATCACTTCTCTGTGCGTGCCGCACCGGAACAATGTGTCAATGCTCTGTGGCCTTTTCCTTTGCACAGCTACAGACATTGTTACACTCGGCTGCAGGGTCATTGTAACGAGTGCGAGGTCGAGGGAGACAGGGAGAGCCAAGGGAGAGGAGAGAGAGAGAGGGAGAGAGTGAGAGCACACACACACCTGTCTCTTATACACATCTAGATGTGTATAAGAGACAGGAGTACGAGTACAGCAGCTGAAAACTGGTACGAGGACTGGTCCCCGTACCGTACGGGGAGCCGGTATAAGAACCGGTGACACGTACGGTACCAGGGGCATTTCTGCAAAGGCCCCGAGGGCAGAACTGAAAAATGCAGTATTTGAAAGTGGCGCCCGAATTGCAGCATGGCGCCAGTTGTCCAAAATCCTACGGTACCAAAGGAGGGGTTTGGAAAAAGGGTGCCAGGCCGAAAACGGGATGCAGCTGAAACAGCAAAAGATAGACCAGGGATTGAGCCCTGGCGGAGTCCGTAACAGTCATTGTCTGTAACAAAATGACTACAATGCCAGGGTTTCTGCGTCTCCATGTGCAGAGGGCTGTCCCTCATCTTCTGACTGCGCGCACCCTCCACATCTGGACATTGTATGTCCATTTTGCATCCATGGGACATTATAATCAATGCAGTGTCTTCTGTGATGCCCGTTCGTCCTTCATCTTCGCCTGTAAGCGTCATGCCATTTTTTGGCAGTATTTGGTGGGCACTGGGCATGCTTAATGCCAGCAGTTATGGCAATTGTTGTGCTGAGAATGCTTAGCTAGGTCTCCCATGTCATCAACCACCTCATCCGTACAGTGAGTATCGTCTCTGTCATCAAAGACAGACTGACTCATGAGTCTTCTTTCACCCTTTCCTATGCTTTCATCTACATTCCACATTCCTTTCTCTCCCTTTGTCTTCCTTCGCTTTTCTTCCTCTCATCTTTCTCCCCTCTCCTTTTACTCCGCCTCTTTTTCACAGCGTGCAAGTGGGCCGTTATGGCACACGGAGCCGTGGCCAGCTCCCGCTCAACTACATCAATGTGGCAAGCCTTGTACGTGAGAGGCACAGTAAAGGGGGAGAGACAAAAGAATAAAAGAGAAACCGCAAAAATGGCCAACGTCAGGAAAGAAGGGAAAGGGCTGCACCAAAAAAAAAAAAAAAAAAAAAAAGCTGCACAGCAAAAGGCAAAAGAACGGTTTGAGTATGCTTCATGTCATGTGCTATTTTCATCATTTCACAAAGTGCGCTCTCTGAGTTGATACATATGTGACACCCAGTATGCTGGGGATGGTTTGGGTTTAGGGAGAAGGGGGTTATAGAGTGGGGGATTGATTATTGTCGCCGAAATTGGCTGAAGAGTGTTGTAATTACGTAGGACAGATTTTAAGCCTCTCTTTCTATCGAACAATCCTTTGTGCACTCGATTTGCACCATCGCCAATACCTTTTTTTACCCGAGCAGAGTCCGCGCTGTTCCTACTTGTTTCCATCAATTACATATAAACATATATATGTCACCGTGATGGGAAAGGATAACCCAGTGCTCTGTACACAGCGTGATGCAGGATGGTTGATTTCGAGAGCTTTTATTGCAGTCTATCTACCTTGGAATGGCTGAGATGGGAATGAAGTGATTGAATAAGTCGTCACTTTCAAGCAGGAATAAGCCCGAGGTCAGGGTTAATGGGAGGTCATGAGTGTGTCAAATTGTGCAGCTTGATGTGATGAGCGTAGGTGAACCGGAGTGATACTTCCCAGAAATCTCTTCCTCACGAGGAGAGAACGGGGGTGGGGATGTTTGATGGGAGAAGATATAATGGTTGACATGGAGTGTATCGGTGTCCATCGAAGCTAGCTGAGGCGGTCTTGCTTCAGCCTCTTGGGCAATGGTGCAGGTGTGCCCTTAAATTTACCATGATTTTGCCCATGTCTGCTCTGTGATGCAGATAGAATGGAGTGTGTGTGGCGGAGCAATACGGAATGTGAACTCTGCACGTGTATCAATTCCATCACAGCTGGAGCTTGACGCTAACAAGAGGTGCGATGGCCGTTATGTCTGTTTACAATGTTGATGATGTTGGGGTTAGAAGATGACGAGGGCGGTGGGTTGGCTTTGGATCTTTCTGAACGTGCAGCAGCAGTACCGTCGATGTTTTGCTTCTTAATTCTTTCACGAGTGTGGGATGGTTTGGAGAAATTTGGTCCTCAAGCTGGGCAATCGAAGTTACTACTCACTGTACTCATTTCTTCAAGCTGGTGAATTGATGTCACCGCGTGGGCTGTCCATTGAAGTTTGGTTGGCGAGCTTGAAAGGCCTGTGTTTTCTGTGAAGAAGTCACTTCAAGCCTGAATTTACAGAAGCTGGTCAGCATAATTGCTGCAGGGTCGTCCAGATAGCCCTTGATGAAGATTCAGAGGTAACCTACAGGGCAACCATAGACAATGAACTCGTTGCCCAAGCTCACAACCCGATGCCCCCCTGCCCTATTGTTGAATTGAAGTGACCATCATTCAGAAATACAAAGTATCATTGAAAGGGAAGTGACCATCGTTCAGAAATACAAAGGCTGGATATCGGCCGGGTGGCAAGCATAGAAAGTAATCGTAATATCTATGTACCTTAGAAAGCGAGCAGTGGTCCTCGGCTGATGCCCCCTGCCGGGCCCATCAGAAACCGCTGGCGGGCCGGGGCCGCTGCGGGACTGCACAGTTCGTTTTTTTTCACGCTCGTACATATTGGGGCAGTAATGTCACTTTAGTTTTCTGCGCAGGGCAGGCCAGGGCAGGGCAGCGACCCAGAAGAGGACCTTGTCCTATGTTTTTTTTTGGCTGGGGCTATTGGCAGTTTCCTTTTCTTTTTCGTTGTCAGCCAAAAAATGCCCTGCCCTGGCAGTGCCCTATGAATCCCCCACGGTCGCGGTCGCCGCAGGCACGACCGCGGACCGCGGTCTCGGCCACGAGCCGCGGTCATGAAAAAAAAAAAATGAAAAAAAAAGAATTCAGAAAAATATGAAAAAAATATACGTTATGCCAAAAAATAAACTGAACAACTTTTGCCTTAGGGTCATATCAAAATTCGTTACCAAATTTTAGATAAAAAACAAACAAAATCCTTTATTTTTCTTACTAAAAGAATTGCAAGGACGAAGCAAAGAAATCCCAATTGCAAATCACACTGAAGTCCGAGTAGTCAAAGCAAGAGCAGATAACACATTGGAACCAAGCAACCATCCATTTGAG